GAAAGAAATACTAGGGTCAAAAAATGGCCCCAAATACCCTATTTATGAGGGAACGAGTTCACTTTACCATAATTCTTCAGTCAGAAGTGAGACACTGTATCCCCATCCTCTACTCTAAATAATTCTGAACACTGGATTGCTACCCTGAAAAATGCTGAAAAAATTCTCAGAATATACTGCGTAATCTTTTCAGCTCAGGTGTAAATGTTGGAAATAATAGTATATGTGAACAGAGTTCACACCAATTAATATTAATTATAAAAGCATTCTTTAAAATGTAAAGACTAAATATCATGCCACGCAAGGCTAGCAGGGATGGAATTCAGATTTTACAGTGATGCAGTTCAATGTCAGTATAAAAAAAAAAAAAAATTCTCTCAGTTTGTGTTCACAGACCACAACTTGGAACGGGGTTGTTAACCTGCTTGCAATTCCCTGGCAGAAAGACAAACAAACCATGCTGAAAATTTGCCCCAGGCTGTAACCTCCATAATTTCAAGCATAATTCATTCTGAAATTTGTCAGTCTTCTCTTGGTTATAAACCATGCCATCTTAAGAAGTGCATGCACTCATGATGATATATAAAAGCTTGCAATTTCTAATGCTTCCAAAGCAAAACATTGCTTCACAAATCTTGTATCATGAAGCAAATGTTTACCAGAACATCAAAATACAAACCAAAAATCTGCATCTTTGAAAATCATTACTAAAAAACATTTCCCTTCTAAAGCAAGACAGGTTCTTATTTTACAGCTTAGAGTAATATGCATTATAGTCTACTAAATAGCAAGTTGAAAGTTACCATTATGAATGATGAGGAAGCAAATAATACTCGAGTGATGAGAAAGTCTGAAGAAGTTGATGAAAATATCAAGCAAAACACTGTTCTGCTTCATTAGGCCACTAGATTATCTAAAGGAACGAGTATTTCGTCTTTGAGCAGCGGTTAAGAGACGCTCTCTCCCCTGCAATGGTAGGTCCAAACCAATGAACGGAGCTGACCATAAATGGGGCATTTCTGCTCTGCCCCTCCTGGGCAATACAGTTATACCCTGAAGCACAAGACTGGATTAGCTTCACTGTGGTATTGAACACCCATAGACACAAACATTATTAATGGTCACATTACCCAGGCTTTTATAAAGATATGATTACAGTGTGCATCTTGATCATTTCTGGCTACAGCAAATTCTAAGTAGAATATGACTACATGCATCTTGCATTAAAGCATTTCATTTTTATTAGCATGCATACAGAAAAGAACAATTAAAGTTCTTCTCCCTTGCTGAAATCCCCTACATAAGGGGATTCAAACATCTGATTATTAACAGAAATTTTATGTGCAAATCCTCCCTTTACTGACAAGGGTATGTCTTCATGGAGAATTATATTTTCAAAGGAGCTTATATTTCTTACCTGTGTGGTAAAACGTGAGGAAAAACAAAAGCACTCCCATAAACACGTTACTCAAAAAGGTGACAACTCCGCAGGTAATTCCTTCTGGAACAGGGTAGACTGTCTCCACAAAGAGCTCAAAGAATATTGGTACGCTGCTGTTGAGGAATATACCCAACAAAATGCAGGATGTGTACAGTGTAGCTATGAAAGAAACAAAAACAGTTATTAATTTCACACTGGCATTTTTTCCCCCTGTTCAGAGCTGCCAAGAATAGTAATACTTGAGTAACTGAAAAATGCATAAACTTATTTTTATCCTCTGTGTATCATAAAGCATATCACATCCCAGTAGTTTTAGGCAGAAGGCATGCACTAATTTGGAAAAAAAAAATCAGAAATACTGATTTATTTTTTTTTAAATTTTTTTTTTAAACAGAACCCATGAAGACACGTTTAATGATTTGGAATTCACTTGTACGTAAACCAAACAGAACAAAATTATGAATGCAAAGCATCACCTACAGTTTGATTTACCTCTGAAATGAACAGAAACTATTGTCCTATACACAATTAGGACAGGGAGCAATTAATGCACCAAATTGGAAATGGACATAGATTAACCTTTTGGCTTAGCTCTAAAGGTCAAAACTCATTTTGCGTCCATTTTACAAATAAATACTAATGATCTACCAGATATCAAGACATTAGTATTCATCACGGCCTGAGCTGCAACATGTTGAATCCCTTTTGGCTTCAAAAGAAATGAAGGGCGCCCAGCGCCTGGCAGGAACAGGACATATTTGATAATGCAGATTATTCACCGCTGTACAACAAATTATTTTTCTTGGACAAATCAACAGAAAAATACAGACATTTCTTCAGTAGCTTCACATATTTTGTTCTACAATTTCTGACACCGCCAAATACTTTACAGTGCTTAATATCTTAAGAGAGATGGTTAATGTGCCTATATTACCTATTAATAAACCTATTCTATCTATTTCTGAAAAAAAGAAAACTTCAGAAGAATTTAGTACCTGTCTAGAAAGGTAAATAAGCCTTTGCTAAGTGCTGTCTTGGGAAGCAGAAGATTTCCTGACCTGCAGCCTCAACAACCTGAGGTTACTGATCAAGTAAAAAATATAAAGAAACAATTAGAAGGCTGGGGGGAGGGGGGGAAGTCTGGAGTATTTTCTGAAGTTTCCACCAAAATGACAAGAAAATGTAAAGAAAAATTTTTCAGATGCAAAAGTGTTACCAAGTCACAGGAAAATTACTTATAGCATCTTTTCACTGCAGCATGGTACAAAATCCTTAAACAATTTTTTTTTATATGGATATATATGTTTATATAAAATAGAAACTGCATCTTCAGTTTCATTTACGTTCTTCTGTCTTGGAAAGGGGAAAACTGAAACAGCTCTGCTTCATCTTCTGTTAAGCATTGCTCAATCTTTCAGTTGAGAAACTGTTAGGAAGTTGAAAACTTCCACCTTAAAAAAAAATTTAAAAAAAATCACTGTTTCTTAAAATATGAAGAATCATGGAAAAGAGATAAAGGCATTAAGAAGCAGAAAGGGCTATCTATCAGATCTTCCATTTGATGTGGTTTGCTTCCAAGGCACAAAGGCATATTTCTCTCCCTACAGAGGATTTGCCTGGACAGGAAAAAGAGGACAGAAGACTCAGCCACAAAGATGATACAGATGGCACGACTTCAGGAGGGACAGCTGGCCCCCACTTTTTTTAATATACCAGAATGTTCTGAGTTGTTAAGAAAAAAAGAAAAAAAAGAACAAATAAATCACGGTAACTTCTTCAACTCTCAAATTCTCTTATTATAAACTGCAAAAAAAAAAAAAAAAGTCAAAGAAATGGATGCCAGGTATGTTCAAGAGTTCTCAGAGAGGAAGGAAAAAACCAAACCAGTATTAGGATGCTCTTCCTAATGGGCTCTTTCAGCTAACACTGAAGAACTGACTCCTTAGTTACAAGATCCCTAGATTTCTGCTGCAAGTTCTCACCAGTATTTAAAATTTCATGAACCTCTCTTTGAATTCCTGTTTACTTCAAACATGACTGAATATTGCTCTAACTGTCTCCAACTGCTATCAGGTGTAGCCAGCAAATCCAAACATTGAATTCAGCTATTTGATATTTTTGTGTTGGCTTGAGAAACCAACACATAAGTGAAATACAAGTATATCTCAAAACAAATGAACATCTGCCCCTCATTACACTCAATTAAAGGCATCTATAGATAACTACTTGTAACTTTGAGAAAATTTTCAGAACTTTCCCTGAAGAAAAGAAGGTGATACCCAGCAGTAATTCTGTGTTAGAAACTCAAACCAGTGAATATAGTCATGAAGATGCTGAATAAGCCATAATGAGCACCAACAAAAGTGGAGCTGCATATAGAGAGCACCAGAAGCAATACCTCTACAGGAAGAATGAAACCTCTTCCATAAACAGCAACAGCCAGGAAAGGGGAATCATGTGCCTCTGAACAGAGACAATCTCTAGACGTATAATTTCCAGAAACTTAAATTCACTTGAGGTGAAGGCAAAAATATGCACCTAAGATTAGCGGCCAATTAAAAGATCAAGACTTCCAATTTTAGTCAATACAATAGATGCAAAAGTTTCCATAAAACAAACAGAAACCTTCAAAATAAATTTGATAGTTTAAAATATGCTAGTTGAATTACATCATTGCGCATCACCTACTAAAATGTATTAAGACGACTAGACCATAAGCAAGTAAGCACAATAACTCTGCACTTTAGAAACTACATCCTCACATTTCCTTGTCACTACAGCTTGCTTTAGTCATACGTTTAACACATACACCCACTGGCCACAACTCACACTTCCATACTACCATGAGAAAAGCAGCTTTAGCATTACCTTTTGTTTTCACCAAAGTGTTACCTGCCTCGTGTGCACGCCGAAAAATGCCAGCTGAACATCAATGACAAAACCTCTGCTGAGATCAGAGATAATACTTATAAAACAAGGTGTATGTATATAAACACACGTATTTGGAAACTAGTAAGAAGAAATGTCAAGGCAAAAGGACAGGCAGAATATAGCGTCCAGCTTATGCCAGTTTAAATTCTAAGATCTAATGGAAGTGACAGCTTTAACTGGTAAAGCCCAAAAAGCAACTCTGAAAGTGAAGTTGCACACATCTGAAAGCCTACAGGGTTCTCCCTTCACAGGTACATACTGTAGTGATGGGAAAATATTTTTTATTTCATGTTTCTGTAAATCATCCAGGGTCTTCCTGAGTGCTATACAAATAAGCTTATTCCATTAACTTGGCAATTAAGTCACAAAGGCAATTGGTCAACTAGACAGAAAGTCAAAGATAAGATACACAGTTTCAGAAAAATAAGTTATAGGAAGAAGTCAAATAAGAGTTCAAAAGTGGTTTTTGCCTTTTATTTCATACACTAAATAGCACATCTCACATTCTAGCTCACGGGCAACAAGACACTGTAGCAGGGAGAATACCACCTATTAATGGAGACCATTTACTTTCCATTACAGCAACCTTGCATTGAACAAACACAAACAATTACCATGATTTTATACTGTAGAAGAACAGCTGCTAAAGTTACAGCAAATGTTTTTTCAATTAAGACAATCTTGATGACAGTCATTGGAAATGAATATAAGGATATGAAAGCACTGACAAGAAAAAAAAAAAAAAAAAAAAAAAAAAAAAAAAGAAAAAGAGATGATTTACCAAGAAGCCAACATTATGTCCTAAAGCCCAATAAGGACTAACAACTAGCTTGGATAGGCGTATGCTGGGGAAGCGTGTCATGCTATTAGAATAAAAAAAAGATCACTTTTTGTTAGGAAAAGGAATTAACTGCCTATGAAGCTATGCACAAAGTTGTGTACCTGAGACAGTGGCAGCTGTGGACATCAATAGATAATGGAACTGGGCTGGGTTTCTTTAAAGTGCTTTGATTAATGTCATGTTTTAAAGACATTTGTGTGAATTAAGTAGCTATTTCACAGGTTGGCCACTGCAAAAAGAGCAAGAAAGGCAAAACACCCACCCAAAGCACTGCTGCTTCAGAGAACTGGCCTGGAGCTACCGCGGCAGGAGGCTCAGGCTTCATCATGTAATGGTCATGCTTGAGGTGTGAGGCAACCCATGCTATTCCCTCAGCGCTCACTCTCCTCCTGGCCGGGAAGGAAGCAAACAAGCACTGAAACGTGCCTTGATAATAGCACTAGGGATGTTATCAGTTAGATGAGGCAAGGTACCGACTGGTGACTGATGGTGATACAGTGGCTTAGCACAAAAAGGAGAAAAAGTGGTAAGAAGTTAGGTTCATTCCTGGCTTCTTATCCCCTGCAGGTCTTCAGCTACCGGATGGCAAATACATGCCCATATCCCAGAAACAGACTTTCTTTTCTCCCAGCCACAAGCTGTGGCAAAAGCTTTATACCAATTAAAAGAAGAAAAAAAAAAAGAATCGGGAAAAAAAAATTAGGAATTTGAACAGGGATGTGATTTAAATGACGTCATGCACTTGGTGTCCCCAGATGAGCTTGCAACACAGCAGAAGGAGTCTCAAGTATCTCTGACATCCAAACAAGTTCCCAGAACCTCCCAGGATGTTCTGCAACATGTTTAGCAATTTACTCTTAAATTACACCATCACTAAATGTGTAACTACAGAGCCCAATCCAAACTCAAATGAAATTAATGGAAGGACCTCCACTGATGTAAATAGTTCTCATCAACCTATTGGCATGTATATCTTGGCTGACTTTTAACAAAGAATATGAAATATTACCGTTTCTTTAAAAAAAAAAAAAGTATTTTGCAGACAAGTTTACAAAAGAAATGCAGATACTCTAGAGCAGTATCAAGTGCAAGCAGGTGGTACAGTATCTTCTTCCAAAGTCCTTTGCCAGAAACTCTTGAACTCTGTACATTTTGTAACAGTTCTGTTCTCAGACAAACAGAGCCAAGACTCACACAAATTTCATATGGATAAACAGGAAAGTAAATACAACTGAACATGTTCTCTTGGGTGCAGCATACAATTTAAAGTGAAACCTCCAGGGATCTAGGGAATTTCGTTATTGCCCATTCAAACAGCATCCCAAATGCCAAAATGAAAGGATAATGCCTCATGTGGATGGATGCTTCATTGACTTTAGTACTTTAG